AGTTAGGAAAATTAAAAAAAAAATTAATTTGGATAATTTTAAGATGTATGCTAATTTTGCTCCATGTTTCAGACCCTTATTTCTCTTTAATTAATTCATCTTGACCTTCAATATGACTTTTTGTCATATCATTTTTGCAATTCACACATTCTCATGATCTCTGTTCTCTGTTCTCTGTAGGATGCTAAAGTAACAATGCTTGGGGTAATTCCAAGTATTGTCCGATCATGGAAAAGTACAAACTGCACATCTGGTTATGATTGGTCTTCCATTCGGTGAGCTTAAGACTCTTACTTTCAATGTGTTTATGTTGTCTTTATAAGTCCCTTGCATCTTTAAGCTTCAATATTAAAAATGTCACTATTTTAGGTCACTTTTAATCGTTCAATTTTCTCCATTCTTCCGTTGCAAATTCTAGTTGTTTTGCCTCCACTGGTGAAGCATCTAACGTAGATGAAAACCTGTGGCTAATGGGAAGAGCTTGCTATAAGCCTGTCATTGAAATTTGTGGTGGGACAGAGATTGGTGGTGGATTTATTACAGGGTCACTGTTACAGCCTCAGGCATTGGCTGCTTTTAGCACACCAGCTATGGGGTGCAGTCTTTTTATTCTCGGCAATGATGGTTTTCCTATTGTAAGAATCGATCCAACTCTTCATTTGCAGCGTGGGCTGATTAATGTAGATAGAGTTGAGTTGCAAAGAATTTGCATATGTTAATAAAGAGTTTATAAAGAAAAATTTCCTTCTTCAGTTCTCCCTTGATTCTCGTACATTCTTTAGCATCTGATTCGTGTTTGAACAATATGAAGCTTCTAGATTTTTCTTTGCTAGTTCTCTCAATGGCCATGCATCAAATTAAAGGGTTTGAATGTTGAAAATTGTTAACTTAAGTTCTCTAACATACCATTTACTTTGCCCTTCTTCTTCCTCCCTCCATAGCCACAAAATATGCCAGGAATCGGTGAATTGGCACTCGGACCTTTCCTGTTTGGAGCTTCGAGTACTCTCTTGAATGCGGACCATTATGATATCTATTTTAAGGGAATGCCCCATTGGAATGGAATGGTAGGCAAGTTTTCTGATGCACCTTCTGTACTTCGTCTTTAACTTCAATGTTACCACATAATTCCCCTAACAGGTACTGAGAAGGCATGGGGATGTGTTTGAACGTTCTCCTCGAGGATATTATCGAGCACATGGCCGTGCAGATGATGCAATGAATCTTGGAGGCATTAAGGTAATTTTATTTCCGCTTCTCATGGTGAAGAGATAATCTTTTGGCTGAGGCTCAATGCTAACATGCTATGGTCATGACATGGGAAAAAGGAGGTTTGACATTGTTGTTGAAAAAATAGCCTCTAAAATGGAGCCATAGAGATTGTGGTTCTATTTGTTTGGTTGTTGTGGGAAGCTAAACCAAAGGCCTGTTTTCAAAATAAACATTTAATGGAATCCAAAAATTATTTGGACAAGTGATATTGGGACAGGGCGTTGATATAATTTGCTTCTATTATTTATGTATTAGAGTAAATTACAGGGCTGAGGGAGATGAGATCTCCCTCTCTACTACCAACACCCTTACAATAAGGAAATTCTACCAAAAAGATGCCCCCCTCTAACTAGCAGCAGGGTGTATAACAAACTCATTTACTTCCCAAAATGCCCCGTAATAAACTTGGTCCCACAATATAATTCCTCTCTACCCTATTCATCTCTTAACCTTCCTCCTACTCTATCTCTTTGTAATCGGAGGCCTATCAGATGTGAATATCAAAAAAGCATTTTTGCAACTTTAATTTTCCAAAGAAGGGTAAGATCTCCACAAGCTGATGGTGCTTGACATAGGGCCCTGAATTAACTTGCAACCGAAGTAGACCATACTTCCTTCTGTATCGAAATCGAGATATTAGGGCCTTCTACGTTTTCGGATTTGTATAAAATTTATTCTCTGGTCATCAGTTCATATCTTCTGATATAATCTTCCAAGTCCTCCAAAATAGTGCCATTGACCAACCATGCTATTGTTTTTTGTTGATAGTGTTGCTGTCTTTTGAACTCACCTCATGCAGATTTCAAATCTCAACCAACAAAAAATTTGGTTCACATCACCATTTGTCATCATTTCCATGCAGGTGAGTTCGGTTGAGATTGAGCGCATCTGCAATACAATTGATGACAGCATCCTTGAAACAGCTGCCATCGGGGTACCGCCACTTGGCGGTGGCCCCGAACAGTTGGTGATAGCAGTCGTGTTAAAGAATCCTGGTGAAACTAGCCCAGATTTAGATAAGTTAAAGCTGTGTTTCAATTCATCTCTGCAGAAGAACCTCAATCCATTATTCAGGGTAGGATTTCTGCCAAGTTCATTTACCATTGTATTCTTTTAGAAAGTAAGTTCATCGTGTGGTTCCATATGAACAGGTCCATCGTGTGGTTCCATATCCTTCCCTTCCAAGGACTGCAACAAATAAGGTTATGCGAAGGATATTGAGACAGCAACTTGCAGTTGAACGTAGAACAAAGCTCTGAATTGCAGATCTTCCTAGGCCGGTTTATGAGTTAGCAAAATAAGATGACAGCAACTCTCGAGTCTCTTCTCATGCAAATTAGGCTCCTTAATAAATAATTTAAATTTTAGGTTTTAAGAACTTGTTTGGTAACGCTTCGGGCCCGAAGCGTGAAGATGATATCTTCAAAAGTGTCATGTTATCGGGAATTCGAGACCCCGTTCCTTTCTCCTACACTCCCATCAATAATACTGGCCGTCCAGCAAATGTAGAGTCTCTTGCTGACTTTCATCGTGACTTCATTCTATATCGGAAACCAAGTTTGAAGTTAGGTTGATGAATTTTCCCCTCTACATTTCGAGTTGAGAATTCTCGTCACATTTTTTTATTCACAATTTCATAAATACAGAATTTCATGTTTGGTGATACCACAGTGTCACATGACCATCTCCAAGTGGACGAGATTTTAGAAACAATGAATTCAAATTTCTTATTTCTTATTCTTGTTTTCAGGTTTTTAGAAGTATAAATAAAAATATTATTTTATCATTTTTGTAAAATAATAAATATCAAAAAATAAATATAAAAATAAAAAAAAATTGAAAATTTAATTTTCACATAACAAACATAAAAAATAAATCTATTGACATTCATTGCTATTTATTTTTATATTAATGCCTATGTTAAATATAATAGTTTATACCTTTAATAACCCAATGGCTTAATTTCAAACAAATTCATATAAATTTTATGTGACATCTCTAATTTTTTTTCTAGAACTTTTAATATTCAAATAAACTAATATCTGTTGATATATTCGTAAATATGAGTTGCAAAAGGTTAAAAATAAGTACAAAGTTATATAGATCTGAATATTGGGTATAGATGATATAAATATGAAAAATATTATTTTTAAAAAACAACGATGAAGTTTATTGCCGTAAAAAAAAATAGTAAAAATAATTATTAACTACTTTGAAGTTTAAAAAACAACGATGAAGTTTCTAGTTCAGCATACATGGTTATCTTGTTGAGAGAAAAAAAAAAGCATACATGGTTAAGTGTCAAAAAAAAAAAGGAAAAAAAAAATACATTGTTGAAAATTCAATTCATGGATACCTAAAGATGCGTTGTTGGTGACCTATAAACCGAAATCTAAAAGTAAGGAATTCAAATATGTTTCTAACGTTTTCAAATATGTATTTGGTAGTAGGTTTGGAAATTAAATATCTGAGACATATATCAATCACCGTTGAGCTACGCTAGTATTGACACTGAGTATTTAGTTAAATTTAAAATAATATCAATTGATTTATCAACATATATGTTAAAAATTTTGTATAATTATTATTTTATAATATTATATATTTTACATTTTTTAGTTTTAAAAAATGGGACCATGTTTATCAAAAATTTTATATTTCTTAATGTAATTATGCATTTTGAACTTTCAAATTCAAAATATAAAAACACTTGAACATAAAAATGTTATTTTTAGAATTTTTATTATTTGAATTGCACTCCTTATTTTCAACTGTGCTAAGTTTAGAATTAAAAATACTCTTATTATAAGTTCGGTACAACGAATTCAATAATTTTTTTTTTTTTTTTTGTATCAAAGGAGTTCAATAATTTAAAGGATTATTTTATAGCTATAAAATGAATAGGATAAGATAAGATCCAATATGCTCGAAATTGAGAAAAAATTGAATTCAATTATTCGATTCGATTTACGTATGTAATAAACCAACCATCTTTTTAGTTATCAATTTTTAGCCCAATCGAAGCGTAAACACCACTCCAAAATTCTGGTTTATGGTAAACTTTTATTGTCATGTCTGTCCAGTTTTAAAGTAGTCGAAGTATTCGATTTCAGGTGAGGCTGAAATCATCTTCATGCGTGACATGTTTCTGTATCTCTGTGAGTGAAATCTCCGATGGAATACAAAGCTCTGGACTCCATCACTGCGATTGAAATCGAAGCTCTCGGAATTGCTTCTGAAGTTGCTGAGAAACTCCATGGACTTCTCAGCGAAATAATCCGTAGCTACGGCAATGGCACGCCTGAGACTTGGCGCCATATCTCCAAGCGTGTCCTCAGCCCCGACCTTCCCTTCTCCTTCCACCAGATGATGTATTACGGCTGTTTCAAACACTATGGTCCTGACCCGCCGGCTTGGATGCCCGAGCCGTGAGTTCCTCTGAATACTTTCACTTTCTCAATTAACCTGTTGATTTTTTAGAGCGCTATGTGCTGAATTATGTCGATTAGCTTTCGTATGCGTGTTTCCGATGGCTGTTTCAGCTTATGGATTGAGTAATATCGAGTTAATTAACAGGTGTATTGGACTGGAAAACAATGTTTAGTTTTGGTACGGCAACTCGAAGGTTGACATGTAGATGGTTGTGGATGTGCTTGTCTGAAACTTGTAAGAGGGGGTATCGTCTAAGGTGAACTAGAACGAACTGGTTTAATGTAATAATGTAAAGATGGCGAGTCTCCTATGCGTTTTGTGTATCTACTTGCAAACAAATTTTATTTTCGATCGAGATGGCTCCCGAGGAGCTTCTTTCCACGACACTATATGTGCGTGGATGCTCTTTTGCTACTTCTGTTCTGCTATGGGGCTAATAAAAGACTGGGTTGCTTTTTTGAAATCTTTGAACTAGCTATATTAAAAAACATTATAGTAGTAATAATATCATGTGGGATGTTAAGATTTGTGCAAACTTTTCTCTTCTCAGATTACTAGCAAAAAAATATTGTGAAGTCTCATTTGATGCATCTGTATAATTAGGGAGAATGCAGTTTTCACAAATGTTGGCCAGCTATTAGAGAGGCGAGGGAAGGAGTTTTTGGGGTCAAATTATAGAGACCCATTTTCGAGCTTCTCCTCTTTCCAGGAGTTTTCAGTCTCAAACCCTGAGGTACTGCCAGTTTTGGATTCAAGTTTGTAATCCATCTTTTTTTCTTAAAATGTTCGGATTAAAATTGTAATTCAGAAGATGCAACATTTTCCTGTCTTCTGTTTGGCAGGTCTATTGGAGAACTGTGCTAGATGAGATGCATATAACATTTTCTAAACCTCCAAACTGTATCTTGCAAATGAATGATTCTCCAGAAAGCCAATTTCGAAGCCCTGGTGGTCAATGGCTTCCTGGAGCAGTTTTTAATCCAGCTAAGGATTGCTTATCTATAAATGAGAACAGGAGTTTGGATGATGTAGCAATCATATGGCGTGATGAAGGATGTGATAATCTGCCTGTGAAGAGATTGACGCTTAGAGAATTGCGTGCAGAGGTTTGGTATATTACTATCCATTATCGATCTTATTAACTCTCAATTTTCATGATAACAGGCTAGCATATTCCTTATCAGAGTTTTTAGAATGTAAGTATTGAATATCAGATGGGTGACAGCCTTTGTTTTATTGTACATATTCAAGCATATAGTGCACCTTAGCATTACCTCCCACATTCTCCTCTCAGAAGTATCTCATGAAGACTGCATCTTCACTTCAGACTTAGACATCCCTAAAAGTTTTACCATTGCCTTAAATTTTAAGTTCTAAAACGTGCCTTTTTTATGATCTTATTAGTGAAACATTTACGATTTGCAGTTGAATGAGACAGATGCTAGCAAAGTAGATTTAGTTGCAAGTCAATATGTTTAATTCCTCAATTTATTGGAAGAGTTTTTCATGCTAATATGTCCTGCACTACGTAAATATTGCAATAATGATTTTTAAGTGATGTTTGGCTCATGTTTTGCAAAACCCAGCATATCATTAAATGTCCTTTTTCATGAAATAATTATATCGGTATTAAAATTTGTAGGTTAGTTGCACATGCTCTCAACTCAATAGGTTTCGAGAAAGGAACTGCAATAGCAATTGACATGCCAATGAATGTAAATGCTGTGGTCATCTATCTTGCTATAGTTCTGGCTGGTCATGTGGTTGTCTCCATAGCTGATAGTTTTGCTGCACGTGAAATATCCACAAGACTCAATATATCAAAAGCAAAAGCTATATTTACTCAGGTAAGTACAACTCTTCTTTTGGAAAAAGATGCAGCAAGTCTTGAAATGGTTAGTTCTCGTGGTCTATTATCTCCAATGTTGAATATGAAAAGTTTGAGCTGGTTGTAATTTTCAGTGGGTTTCTTTTTATTAATTTTGTTCAATTGGTACAAAAAATACCTATGTAGCACACTATTAAACCAATCAAACATGCTAGCTAACACAACAAAGAGTTTCCTTGTATGAGGCATGGACTATTCAGATCTCTCTCATGGAATTTTATGGCTTGTGTATTGAGGGATTTCATAATCCCACAAGATGAAGAGGGTTGGATACCCGAGAAAATTTTCAGAGGAGAAATTTCCTGTGTGGATTTTTTCTGTCTCTTTGCTTTTAAACTTTTCCCTACTTCACGCAGCTTTTTCCTATTTGATTGAATTGAATTTAGAGCACCTACTATGCTGAACCAGTCATGGTTAGTCAAATGCTGCATAAAACAGAGGCTTGCTTGTTTGCTGAACTGTTATGACTTGATATTGTGATATACTATCATGTTGTGTATATTTATTTTCCTCCTCCATCTGAGGTTATCAACTTTGCTGATATAGTTCTATGACTATTTTTACCATCTACCGGTTCTTTCTGACATTCAAAATTTTTACCCTGTTTTTTTAGTCCCTGAGCTACATTTCACTTTATCAAAGTATCCTATGACATCCCTTTTTTTTTTTTACGTAATTATCATCCTGTACTCAGTTTTATCTCTTTATTCATTTTTTCTATTAAAATCTTCTTACCTTCAAACTTCAGGATCTTATCATTCGTGGGGATAAAAGCATACCCTTGTATAGGTGAGGTCACATTTTCTTCTTCATGGAGTTAAGAACTGGGTCTTTTTGCTTTCCCTGAACACTGAAATGCTCGTGTAATCAACATTGCAGTCGAATCATAGATGCTCAGTCACCTCTTGCAATCGTAATTCCCACCAACAGCACTGGTTTTAGCATGAAATTACGAGACAGTGATATTTCTTGGCATGCCTTTCTGGAGAGAGTAAAAGATTTGAAGTATGCGCTATTCTGCGTGTTTAAGTTTACTTGATGATATGTTTCTTATTTATACTTGTCATGTTCAAGTTCTTTACCCATTTGAACCTATTATTCCGATCTGACTCAAACATTTAATAGTTGAGTTTCTTAAAATTTGGTGTCCTCTGTAGTCTGTTCTCCCCTCTGTATCATGATGTGTCCACTGCTTGCTATAGTATGTTCAAGGAGGTCTCGTATTGCATCTTAACATGTTTAGGTCAGTGGAAAGCATCCAAATTAAATATTTTAAAAAATTA